GGGTAATGCAGTATGTGGAGTATGGTGCAGACAGTGGGAGGGTAATGCAGTATGTGGAGTATGGTGCAGACAGAGAGGGAGGGTAATGCAGTATGTGGGGTATGGTGCAGACAGAGAGGGGGTAATGCAGTATGTGGGGTATGGTGCAGACAGAGAGGGTAATGCAGTATGTGGGGTATGGTGCAGACAGAGAGGGGGTAATGCAGTATGTGGGGTATGGTGCAGACGGGAGGGTAATGCAGTATGTGGGGTATGGTGCAGACAGTGGGAGGGTAATACAGTTTGTGGGGTATGGTGCAGACAGTGGGGGGGGGGGGGGTTATTCAGTATATGGGATAGGCCACGGACGGGGGAGGGGTTTATGTATACGAGGATTGTACAGTGACAGGGGTGGTATTTGGCAGTAGGGGGTGTTCACTGACACAATAAGTAAAACATTTCTGCAGGTGAATTTTTTAAAGATTTTATTTTATTATAAAATGTTTGCTTAAAGAACAGGAATTACAATCCAGCATTTGTTCCATTGATGCTGGAAAAGTCATTGAAGTATTTGGTAAAATTAGGATTTGAACAGAGCAAATGATTTAACACGTCAGTTACTACATTAGCAGAAAGTTATTTGGAGAATAGAATGCACATATTATTAAAGCCATTTCACTTTAATCTCAAGTTTATATCAAAGATTTATTGTAGCAAAACCTGGAATTATGTTTATCAGGAAATAATCGTTCGTTTACAGTCTAAGAAACAGAAAAGTCCAAAAGATGAGTTGTCATTTTAAGTTCCCACAAATGTATTTATTCACTAAACCCTGAGTTAGACATGATCGGGGGTGGTAGGTATTCATTATGGGTAATTAATCACATGTAGATGAAGCTCAGGGTAAACCGTAACAGGGTGCATAGTTTGCATTGACCGTTTGAGGAGCTCACTTTTCGTGTTAATGTGATGCCATTCTAGATATAGAGAGCCTCCTTCAGTACCTTTACTGAGCTTGTTCACTGTTTAAATCCCTGATTTTCAGAGTCGTGTAAACGTTACCTACCTGGCACACATGAATGAATCAACTATACTAATCTTATTTGGGTGAGGGTTCCCGACATGAATGAATCAACTATACTAATCTTATTTGGGTGAGGGTTCCCGACATGAATGAATCAGCTATACTAATCTTATTTGGGTGAGGGTTCCCGAAATGAATGAATCAACTATACTAATCTTATTTGGGTGAGGGTTCCCGAAATGAATGAATCAACTATACTAATCTTATTTGGGTGAGGGTTCCCGACATGAATGAATCAGCTATACTAATCTTATTTGGGTGAGGGTTCCCGACATGAATGAATCAACTATACTAATCTTATTTGGGTGAGGGTTCCCGAAATGAATGAATCAACTATACTAATCTTATTTGGGTGAGGACACCTGACATGAATGAATCAACTATACTAATCTTATTTGGGTGAGGGTTCCCGACATGAATGAATCAACTATACTAATCTTATTTGGGTGAGGGTTCCCAACATGAATGAATCAACTATACTAATCTTATTTGGGTGAGGATCCCCAATATGAATGAATCAACTATACTAATCTTATTTGGGTGAGGGTTCCCGACATGAATGAATCAACTATACTAATCTTATTTGGGTGAGGACACCCGACATGAATGAATCAACTATACTAATCTTATTTGGGTGAGGGTTACCGAAATGAATGAATCAACTATACTAATCTTATTTGGGTGAGGGTTCCCGAAATGAATGAATCAACTATACTAATCTTATTTGGGTGAGGACACCCGACATGAATGAATCAACTATACTAATCTTATTTGGGTGAGGACACCCGACATGAATGAATCAACTATACTAATCTTATTTGGGTGAGGGTTACCGAAATGAATGAATCAACTATACTAATCTTATTTGGGTGAGGGTTCCCGAAATGAATGAATCAACTATACTAATCTTATTTGGGTGAGGGTTCCCGACATGAATGAATCAACTATACTAATTTTATTTGGGTGAGGGTTCCCAACATGAATGAAATCTTTAATTATACACCCGGTCAAAGTAGGCTCCCTAAAATGAATGAATCAACTATACTACCCTGTCGGGGTGAGGGTTCTCGGCTGGCGAAATGGAACAGCTTGCGGCTTACCTTATTTGGGTGGAGAGGACACCCGGCTGATGAAACGAATCAACTATACTAATCTTATTTGGGTGAGGGTTCCCGACATGAATGAATCAACTATACTAATTTTATTTGGGTGAGGGTTCCCAACATGAATGAATCCACTATACTAATCTTATTTGGGTGAGGGTTCCCGAAATGAATGAATCAACTATACTAATCTTATTTGGGTGAGGGTTCCCGACATGAATGAATCAGCTATACTAATCTTATTTGGGTGAGGACACCCGACATGAATGAATCAACTATACTAATCTTATTTGGGTGAGGACACCCGACATGAATGAATCAACTATACTAATCTTATTTGGGTGAGGGTTCCCGACATGAATGAATCAGCTATACTAATCTTATTTGAGTGAGGAAACCCGACATGAATGAATCAACTATACTAATCTTATTTGGGTGAGGAAACCCAACATGAATGAATCAGCTATACTAATCTTATTTGGGTGAGGAAACCCGACATGAATGAATCAGCTATACTAATCTTATTTGGGTGAGGATCCCCGACATGAATGAATCAACTATACTAATCTTATTTGGGTGAGGGTTCCCGACATGAATGAATCAGCTATACTAATCTTATTTGGGTGAGGAAACCCAACATGAATGAATCAGCTATACTAATCTTATTTGAGTGAGGAAACCCGACATGAATGAATCAGCTATACTAATCTTATTTGGGTGAGGATCCCCGACATGAATGAATCAACTATACTAATCTTATTTGGGTGAGGAAACCCAACATGAATGAATCAACTATACTAATCTTATTTGGGTGAGGACACCCGACTTGAATGAATCAACTATACTAATCTTATTTGGGTGAGGACACCCGACATGAATGAATCAACTATACTAATCTTATTTGGGTGAGGACACCCGAAGTTATCAGGAGTTATAGTTCTGGTTTAGTGAATAAAGTGAGACCTTTTCTGTAAATCCCAAAGGTTGGGCGTATTTCATAGTAAAATAGATCATATCATCCATTAGAAGTACAGATGAGCAGACCAAAGTCTTAAGTTTGTAACAAAATAAAATGACCGGGGTAAATCGAGGTTTTGTATTGTGCGGGTTGATGTTGCCGATTGCAGTCAGAGTAGACCAGAGTCAGTGGTATCATCTTCCCAGGAGGGAGTCGTCACATTGTGAAATCCACCTAGATTACACTGTAAAAGATGAAAAGGTTAGTAAGAATTCTGCATTCTGATCTCGTAACGAGCTTTCATTTCAGCTTTACATAGAGAAATAGTAAGTAACCTGTGTTTAGGGGTGTCAGCATCCAAGACCACTCATAGAACCGATTCGTTCCAACTTCATCCCAAAGCAACCCCGCGAGCTCCCCGATTTCTTTGTGCGCCCCCGGAACTTTTTCTGGTTGCTTATGAAATCGCTGAAGAGGCGTTGCCAGGCTCGGCCATGGGGTATCTGGGCAGAATCTGCTGGGAGAGGGGTATCCCGAGTACGGGGGCCAGAGGGAACAACCCCCAAGTCTTCCATACTCTCCAAGAGAAGCAATTCCTCCGAGGAAGACAGGTCGTGGGAGAGGAGGTCTGCTAGAGACTGTCACAGAAGAAAAGAGACTGTCTCGTTACATTCAAATAGCGGATACTATTATAGTCAGTGAAAGTATCGGCTTATTTACTAAAGTGAATTTTAAATAGAAGGTTAAAATAGCAGAAACTGAAAAATTCTCTTTCAGCTACAGACTACAGTTTGACTACTTTGGCCTTAAATTTAAAATTCACCTTGAATACGTGTCAATTATCTCTTCTCTTGTGAATAAACCCAATAGTGTGGGAGCAGTAAAGGCTGACAGTGATATAGGAAGAGTAGTAGATATCTGGAATAGCTTTCCAGTTGGAGCACTAACAGGGATATAGAAAGGGTAGTAGATACCTGGAATAGCCTTCCAGTGGGAGCAGTAACAGTGATATAGAAAGGGTAGTAGATACCTGGAATAGCCTTCCAGTGGGAACAGTAACAGTGATATAGAAAGGGTAGTAGATACCTGGAATAGCCTTCCAGTGGGAGCAGTAACAGTGATATAGAAAGGGTAGTAGATGGCGATTCCAGGTAACTACTACCCTTTCTATATCACTGTTATTGCTCCCACTGGAAGGCTATTCCAGGTATCGACTACCCTTTCTATATCACTGTTACCGATCCCACTGGAAGGCTATTCCAGGTATCTACTACCCTTTCTATATCACTGTTACTGCTCCCACTGGAAGGCTATTGCAAGTATCTACTACCCTTTCTATATCGCTGTTACTGCTCCCACTGGAAGGCTATTCCAGGTATCTACTACTCTTTCTATATCGCTGTTACTGCTCCCACTGGAAGGCTATTCCAGGTATCTACTACCTTTTCTATATCGCTGTTACTACTCCCACTGGATGGCTATTCCAGGTATCTACTACCTATCACTGTTATTGCTCCCAGTGGAAGGCTATTCCAGGTATCTACTACTCTTTCTGTATCGCTGTTACTGCTCCCACTGGAAGGCTATTCCAGGTATCTACTACCCTTTCTATATCACTGTTACTGCTCCCACTGGAAGGCTATTCCAGGTATCTACTACCCTTTCTATATCACTGTTACTGCTCCCACTGGAAGGCTATTCCAGGTATCTACTACCCTTTCTATATCACTGTTACTGCTCCCAGTGGAAGGCTATTCCAGGTATCTACTACCCTTTCTGTATCACTGTTACTGCTCCCACTGGAAGGCTATTCCAGGTATCTACTACCCTTTCTATATCACCGTTACTGCTCCCACTGGAAGGCTATTCCCGTTATCTACTACCCTTCCTATATCACTGTTACTGCTCCCACTGGAAGGCTATTCCAGGTATCTACTACCCTTTCTATATCACTGTTACTGCTCCCACTGAAAGGCTATTCCAGGTATCTCCTACCCTTTCTATATCACTGTTACTGCTCCCACTGGACAACTATTCCAGGTATCTACTACCCTTTCTGTATCACTGTTACCGCTCCCACTGGAAGGCTATTGCAAGTATCTACTACCCTTTCTATATCACTGTTACTGCTCCCTCTGGAAGGCTATTCCAGGTATCTACTACCCTTTCTATATCACTGTTACTGCTCCCACTGGAAGGCTATTGCAAGTATCTACTACCCTTTCTATATCGCTGTTACTGCTCCCTCTGGAAGGCTATTCCAGGTATCTACTACCCTTTCTATATCGCTGTTACTGCTTCCACTGGAAGGCTATTCAAGGTACCTACTACCCTTTCTATAACAATGTTACTGCTTCCACTGGAAGGCTATTCCAGGTATCTACTACCCTTTCTATATCACTGTTACTGCTTCCACTGGAAGGCTATTCCAGGTATCTTCTACCCTTTCTATATCACTGTTACTGCTCCCACTGGAAGGCTATTCCAGGTATCTACTACCCTTTCTATATCACTGTTACTGCTCCCACTGGAAGGCTATTCCAGGTATCTACTACCCTTTCTATATCACTGTTACTGCTCCCACTGGAAGGCTATTCCTGGTACCTACTACCCTTTCTATATCACTGTTACTGCTCACACTGGAAGGCTATTGCAGGTATCTACTACCCTTTCTATATCACTGTTACTGCTCCCACTGGAAGGCTATTTCAGGTATCTACTACCCTTTCTATATCACTGGTACTGCTCCCACTGGAAGGCTATTCCAGGTATCTACTACCCTTTCTATATCACTGTTACTGCTCCCACTGGAAGGCTATTCCAGGTATCTACTACCCTTTCTATATCACTGTTACTGCTCCCACTGGAAGGCTATTCCAGGTATCTACTACCCTTTCTATATCACTGTTATTGCTCCCACTGGAAGGCTATTCCAGGTATCTACTACCCTTTCTATATCACTGTTACTGCTCCCACTGGAAGACTATTTCTTGTATCTACTACCCTTTCTATATCACTGTTACTGCTCCCACTGGAAGGCTATTCCAGGAATCTACTACCCTTTCTATATCACTGTTACTGCTCCCACTGGAAGGCTATTCCATGTATCTACTACCCTTTCTATATCACTGTTACTGCTCCCACTGGAGGGCTATTCCAGGTATCTACTACCCTTTCTATATCACTGTTACTGCTCCCACTGGAGGGCTATTCCAGGTATCTACTACCCTTTCTCTATCACTGTTACTGCTCCCACTGGAAGGCTATTTCTTGTATCTACTACCCTTTCTATATCACTGTTACTGCTCCCACTGGTCTTCTACCCTTTCTATATCACTGTTACTGCTCCCACTGGAAGGCTATTTCTTGTATCTACTACCCTTTCTATATCACTGTTACTGCTCCCACTGGAAGGCTATTCAGAATTGTCCATAATCTAATCTTTTATAGAATCTGTATTGTGTAACATAATGGTGCTGGTAACGAATAATATCACAGTCAGATAATATTTATACATGAGACAGGTATATGATATATGTACATATAACAAATAGCATTTCTAGATAAGTGGACCAACACTTACCTTTAGATGTTTGAGTTGGGGAGAAGGTCTGGCATGCACCCCCACAATCAGCAGAGCCATAGTGAGAGCTGAGATGGCCTTCATACTGTTCCAGGGGTAAGAGCGGGCTATAGGAGGGCTGCGGGTGGCTTATATCGGACACAGAGATATCTGAAATTTCAGCTCGTGGCTCAGTCGTTCCTTTTAAGCCGATGGAGTTTATCATATAGTTTTGAGTTAGAAAATATGTCGTTTTTCTCAATAAGATAATACGTTTCCTAGGTTCAGTCAGCAAGGTGCTGGTTGTCAGGTCTGTGCTTGGTGGGTGTCTGCAGGACTAAGCTTTTTTTGGGTGTCTGTCCTGAATTTCAGGACTGGTCAATTCTTTCGGATTAAGGGATCAACAGAGCTATATATACAGGAATGGAAGGAGGGGGTTCTTTAAATTATAGGGTGAGGGCTAAGCGTAACCCTGGGAGAACCCTTCATTTATATTAGGGGCCTGAGGAATGTCACCCCCCCATACACACATCTATATACACGTACTCCCCACAGAGCGCCTGTTCCATCTGCAGACACACTGAGCCTTAATGAGTCACCAATATAAATCCACTGGCCACGTTATATGTAATATATACTTAATAATGTAAGTAATGTGCCCACCATGCTATATCCACTAACACAGAATGTCCATTTATCATAGGAAGGTATGTACACGCTATGCCACAGAGTAAAAAGTGTCAAAGCGCACACTGTAAAAATTAGTCTTTACCTTTAAAACAAAGTAAAATGTAGTTGGTCTTTGTCTTGATAGAACCTTAACTCATATAAATACAAAACAGAGGGACCATATTGTAACCTGTATACATAAATATAATACCAGTGATACAATACAAATAGTACACTCACACTTTACAGAGCCCTTAGAGAATGGCTCTGAACTCTAAAGACAAGTGATCCACAATGGTGATAGTTGTAGTGGTGTATCGCTGAAAACTTGGAGTTTCCGTGTAAAAACTGGAACCAGGAACCCAATAAACGACATAAAAGATATTTATTCCAAATTTGGAATTAAAACATAAAATAAAATAGCACAATGCGTTTCGACCTTAAGAGAGGTCTTCCTCAGGTGTAATCCCGTACACACTATGCTATATTAATTTATGTACACTGATTGGCCTTACATTATATTTATACACACTATACTATATTCACTATGCACTGATTGGCTCTATATTATATTTATATACACACTATACTATATTCACTATACACTGATTGGCTCTATATTATATTTATATACACACTATGCTATATTCACTATACACTGATTGGCTCTATATTATATTTATATACACACTATACTATATTCACTATACACTGATTGGCTCTATATTATATTTATATACACACTATACTATATTCACTATGCACTGATTGGCTCTATATTATATTTATATACACACTATACTATATTCACTATACACTGATTGGCCTTATATTATATTTATACATACTATACTATATTCACTATGCACTGATTGGCTCTATATTATATTTATATACACACTATACTATATTCACTATGCACTGATTGGCTCTATATTATATTTATATACACACTATACTATATTCACTATACACTGATTGGCTCTATATTATATTTATATACACACTATACTATATTCACTATACACTGATTGGCTCTATATTATATTTATATACACACTATGCTATATTCACTATACACTGATTGGCTCTATATTATATTTATATACACACTATACTATATTCACTATACACTGATTGGCTCTATATTATATTTATATACACACTATACTATATTCACTATGCACTGATTGGCTCTATATTATATTTATATACACACTATACTATATTCACTATACACTGATTGGCTCTATATTATATTTATATACACTCTATACTATATTCACTATACACTGATTGGCTCTATATTATATTTGTGTTAGGTACTTAAGATAGTACAGTGTGAAATACCATGAATAAGCGTAGGATGATAAAAGGAGCAAGTCGGTTGTGGTGTGCCGAAACCGACGATGAGGTAGGCCTGAGAAAGAAGAGGGCCCACCCAGGAAAAGAAATAGAAAGGAAAATAAATGTTAAAAGTGGTGTGGTGGAAGGGTCATTCAACGCTGACCTCGAACGGTAAGGAGCCAGGCAAGGGGAGTGCCTTAAGTAGGCTAGAGGTAGAAAACCAGCACCTCCCACAAATGCAGGCAAATTGCCTTAATACTTGTGTTAGGTGCTTAAGATAGTACAGTGTGAAATACCATGAATAAGCGTAGGATGATAAAAGGAGCAAGTCGGTTGTGGTGTGCCGAAACCGACGATGAGGTAGGCCTGAGAAAGAAGAGGGCCCACCCAGGAAAAGAAATAAAAAGGAAATAAATGTTAAAAGCGGTGTGGTGGGAGGGTCATTCAACGCTGACCTCGAACGGTAAGGAGCAAGGTAAGGGGAGTGCCTTAAGTAGGCTAGGGGTAGCAAACCAGCACCTCCCACAAATGCAGGCAAATTGCCTTAATACTTGTGTTAGGTGCTTAAGATAGTACAGTGTGAAATACCATGAATAAGCGTAGGATGATAAAAGGATAAAAAGTCGGTTGTGGTGTACCGAAACCGACGATGAGGTAGGCCTGAGAAAGAAGAGGGCAAAAATTAAGTAATCCAATTTATTAACAGACAACCAATACATATACATTTATCAACCAGACATGTTTATGAAAGCATCTCTTAACTCTTGTACTGGGTTCGGTATGTACCGTGAGTAAGCGGATGACTTCCAGCGCCCCAGTGTTTTGATAACATGAGCTGGGACGTTGAAACTGGAGGCTGTGGACGCGGCTCCTATACGAAAGGAGTGTCCTGAGTAATTGTTTGCGTTGAGGCCCAGTTGTGTGAGCAAGGACCTGACGTAGGTCATGAAGGTTGTAGTGGCGAGTACTGCACCTTGTAGTTGTAATAACGGTTGCGAGGGCAGTAAGTGATGGTGCTGTATGTAGGCATCAAGAACTTTTATGGGACACCATCTGTTGTGCGTGGGGTAGTACGGAATGTTTACAGGTATGTGCTGGCTGGTTTTGGAGTGAGGTAAAGACAGGATGTAATGATCCATATGTTTTGTCAAGGGGGAATAGAGGAGGAATGGAGTGGTTTGGGTCGTGGAGGTCGTAGTGAATTCTCTGGGTCGTAGAAATCCATAGAAAGCGATGTATATTGCTGTTTTGATGATAGAATTCGTATTAGTGTCAAACGGTTTTAGGTCGAGTAGGTTAGATAATGCTTTGAAGATATGGTTATCTATGGGTAGCCTCTG